AGAAGCCTAAGAAGAAGGCAAAATTCTCAATCCCAAAAATAGACCCCAAACAAGCAGGGCGATATCAATGTCGATATCAGACTCATGATGGATGGTCAGAGTTCAGTGACTCCCTGGAGCTGGTGGTGACAGGTGAGAGGACACACAGGCTCCCCAGACTTAGCCTTGACTGTCAAGAATTGGTTCTGTTCACAGGGCTAACCCACCTAGAGCCAAGCAGGAAAAGGAGGTCTGATAGATTTAACTGATTTCTCCTTCTCTCCTAGGAGTACACAGTAAACCCAGCCTGTCAGCCAAACCCAGCCCTGTGGTGACTGAGGGAGGACATGTAACCCTCCAGTGTGTCTCAAAACAATGATACCATAGGTTCATTCTGACTGGGAAAGGAACACGGAATATCTCACAAATGCTGGATTCAGAGTATAACTCTTCTACTCAGCACTACAAGGCCCTGTACTCTGTGGGCCCTGTGACATCCAGCCAAAGGTGGACATTCCAATGCTACAGCCATTACCTGAGAAGCCCATTGGTGTGGTCAGAACCTAGTGACCCACTGGAGCTCCTCTTCTCAGGTGAGGAACTTCAGCCTTGGTGTAGAAAGAGGCTGAAATGATACACATGCTCAGAGAGGCCTTGGTGAGTAGTGTGTGGTGTGTGATATGTGTGAGCAGTCAGGGCTCCTTAGCCCATTGACTCAGAGCATGGTAGAGAGTGTGGGACACAAGATACAGAATCCAAGGCAGAGAGTGACAGCAAAGCACAGGTGGAACAAGACAGATGAATCTTTATGGGGTCTTCTCTTACTCCAGATCAGCTCATGTGCCATCCACAAGAGCTTGGGGAAATCCACAGAAGAGAGGGGGAAGTGTTATAGGAGCCAGAATGGTTGAGGACACCAAAAGAATCTACTAAGCAGGGATCATGACAGCTCACAGAGTTGAAGCAGAAGCCATGGAGTCTACATGGATCTGCCCTAGACCCTCTGAACACATGCTGTGGTGGTTTACCCTGGGTTATATTTTGTTTTGTTTTATAGAGTTTCACTGTGTAGGTCTGTCTGTGCTGAAATTCAC